ACTCAAGCACGGCTTGCATGTGACCTGTAAACCTACCGCCAAAATCTAATCTTGCTGCCTCAGGGGGCCAGCTTTTTCTAATCTTGGATGCCTCAGGGGGCCATCCTGCAGGTACGTCCAGCTGATCAGGCTGGATATCCCATCCATAACCGTAGCTTCATTGCACACGGTAGGTTATGGATGCCGTGTGCCCCTGCCTGAAAATCTCATGTGGTTGGGAGTGACCCCCTGCGTTCATGAGCTAGAACGGCTCACACACACACACACAGACACACACACACACACCCACACACACACACACACCCACCCGCGCACACGCACACACACACACACAGACACACAGAAACACAGACACACAGACACACATGCACACATGCACACACGCACATACACACACAGACAAACAGACCAGTCAGACAGAGAAAGACAGACAGACAGAGAAAGGCAGACAGACAGACAGACAGACAGACAGACAGACAGACAGACAGACAGACAGACAGACAGACACCCACACATACATACATACATACATACATACATACATACTCACATACATACATACCTACCTACATACATACCTACCTACATACCTACATACCTACACACACATACACACATACATTCATACATTCATACACACATACACACATACATACGTTCATACTCATATACATACATTGATAATACAGACATGCTTGCATACAAACATACATGCATGCATGCATGCATGCATGCATGCATACGTACGTACGTACGTACATACATACATACATACATACATACATACATACATACACACATACACATACACATACACATACACATACACACACACATACGCGCACGCACATACACACATCAGACATATTGCATCACATCACATCACACCACATTACACTACACCATGTTCCACCGTGTTACATGACATACATACACATACATACATCAATGTGTGCATGTATGTGTGTGCGCCTTTTTAATTTGTAGGCGGGCTAATGAAGAATCAAATGGAAAAACATGGAAACTTACTTGGGCTTGTAGGTGACTAAGTACAGTATCAGGATCCATTATTATAGGCATTATCATGGAGGAGTCGGCTTACCAATAGTGGAGGATCGAATGCACAAGAGAACGGACATTTAGCTTCAACTGCAAGTGCAGGTTTACGTTAGGCGATCGACAAAACAAATGGAGGAATGGAACATCAAGTGCAAGGTGAGACTTATGGGGGTACATAGATTTTGGAGCTAACTTGCTGCGTGTTAGCAGGGAATGAAGGAATGGAACAAAAGGGGCTAACGTGTGGATACATTCCTCGCTTCCCTACTAACAACCAGCAAGTCAAGTGGGTATTTCCCAAAATAGCGGTCCAATCCTACACCCGAGAATGTCATCATCATCATCATCATCGCAAAGACTCCCGGAAGGGAAGCCCAATTGTTGGAAACCCACAAATGGAGATTCTGTAGGGTGTGGCTCGTAGTTTCAGGAGTTCAGGTGAAAGCGGCTTGCAAGTTGGCAGTTTTAGGGTCTAGGTGTGGAGTAGAGGGTACCGTGGGCTCAAGGAGGACCCCAGCTAATCGCAGTTCTAGGAATATCATATTATGTCCGTTTTTGGATTGGTCCAGGTGTCTTTGCCTGTGTTGTGATATGGGTCCCTTGCTGAGCCTTGTCAGTTGAGGTCCTTTAGCCGGTTTGTCAAAAGTCTAGTCATTTTGGGGCAGAACAAGCAGAGGCCCAAAAGGATCACCATTTTAACCGGCCCCCATCATAAGCGACATAGGATGTCATAAGAGAGGAGACAGATTTCCAGGTTACCGTGATGGGGCTGCAGGGGCGCGACGACTACCACAAATGCTACCTGCCTCTAGCCCAGCTTCTGTTGTAGATCGATGTGAGTCCCATCCCCTTATAATTACATTCCGAACATTGTAATATGCCACAGTGGGACTATTTGTGTTGGGGGGGTCGGTGGCGGTCGTGATAGAAGGAGGAGGGGATTGTTCAGCATGATGAACCGAACTGCCCTGGAACCAAGGAGGGGACAGTGCAGACTGAACTTACGAGGCGCGGGTCTCGACGTGCAGGACGTCCTCTCCTGAGACATTTCGAGCTTTCCACGGATGCCTTTGCAATGGGCGGGCGGTACACTGGTGAGTTAAAGGGGGGTTATCCTTTATGGCTGCCTCCTACTGCTTTGGGTGTGGCTATCTTGGGGCATAACTTTTTGAAGGTCGTTTTCTTTTTGTCCCAGGCCTTGATGCTGGTGGATCCGATGGACAACTGTGGGCAAACCGGCTCCCCAGTGAGTTTCAGCATCGATGGGCACCAAGCTCAGAAAGCAACACCACCGACAGATCCCTGAAGGGATCCCAGAGAGCCTACATAATGCCCCATTGGGGTAATATTTGGGTTTTATTGGGTTATATTGGTATAATGGAAAATAAAATGGAAACTACTATTGTAGAAGGTCAAGGGGTCAATAAGTACAAGGTAGGGGATTACCTCGATTTCATTTTGGATCCCGTAACGAGATTTGCATTTTTGATCTTGCCAAAAGCAGAGGGGACAATGGACATAGTATATAGTAGAGGGGGAAACGAATACCTGACAGCTTTGGTAGGCATATCGACAAGCAACTGAGCGTAAGTCAGCAAATTTCTTGAAGACCTGGAAGTTCAATACCACTAAGACTACCACCACTCATACCACCCATAGTCACTATGACAATCTGTGATGGCAGCTTTTGATCTAGCGCTAAACCTGAATATGCTCAACCTTCTCCTTGTATTCCCCTGTACATCCTAGGATCGTTAGGTCTATTCCGAGGAGCCCTAGCCGGAACCCCATGTACGTATATACCCCACTTCTGCCCCTATATAAGCCATAGTCTAAACTCCTTAGGGGGGTTATATACGAGATTATATAGGAGACTACTATAGGGGTTATTAAGGGATATACTAGGAGTTTAGACTATAGCTCATCTAATTACCTCTGTCCTGCCTACCCCCATCTAAAGAAACCGTTAAGTGGGCTATTCTCAAAATTATGGGCCCCTTTGGGTTATAGATTAAATTGCGGCACTTAATATTTAGGGGTACCAAAATGGGACCCTAGCTTTGGGAATCATCCGAACCTAAATCGTAGCTTCCATTTTCTTTTCCATTATCCCTATAACCCCTATATAACCCTATATAACCCTATAATGCCCTATATAGCCCTATATAACCCTATATACCCCTATATAACCCTATATAATCCTATATAATCCTAATTTTGAGAACTCCAAAAGAAGTGTCAGCCATCCAGCCGCAGACCAAACCAAGGCCGCGATTCTTCACCAGTGCCGGGGACAGGCGACTTGTAATAACCCCCCGGATATTTATGTTGGTGGACATATGTATAAATACATATATACATACATATATATACACACATATATAGTTATATGTATACATAAATATATATATATATCTATGTATGTATATAGATATATAGATATACATATATACATGTTAGCCCCCTAATACTGGACATAATGGTACCATGTTGGTGGCAATTATGAGGGGGAAGGGAGTGCCGCCGCTGATGAGGCTTCGAGCTTAGGAGATGTCCTCTGGTGATGCTGTAAGTTACTTACAACATTCCCTGGCAGCGCTTATGCACCGATAGTTTAAGTTGGACCAACACTGCGGTCCAAGCAAGTTGCTCTGCTCCCTGCACGGTCTTCAGTCTTCAGTTTATTCATCCCCTAAACGCTAAAACCTAAACCCTGAACCCATTTTGAGAAGGGGGCTCCTCAACAGAGTCATGATCATCCTGAACACTTGCCTCACATACAATGCATGATGGATCATGCACCTAAGCCCTAAACCCTATATACCATCCAAGAGAATGCTTCTTGTATTCTGGGAGCCTGCAGTGTGAAGCAACCACCACTTTTAACCAATTCTATTATTATCCTGCCGCATGTTGAGCTTGAACTGTGAGAGCAGACATGAGCCCACTTAGGGAAATCCCGCTTAATCCCGCTTCAAGACCCGATGATATCCCACAGTCTCTTGAAGTCATTATCATGGAAAACAACCGGCAGTGTCTAGAAACCACCCTTATGGACAGCACTAATGTCGAAGCATGCCTTGACGCAGCCATTGCTTGAGCTTCAGGCTGTTCATCGGAAATCTCACCTCGACGAGCAACGAAGGCAGCGAGTGAGCTCCCCGTGTGTTACTCGTGCTTAAGGTCGGGTAGGGGATGAACATAGGTATTGTTATGGGGCGCGACGTATAACAGGGGTTATTATGGTAGGAATCCACTTGAAAATATCCGAATATCCAAAGCGTCGGGGGGAGGGTCAGGTGGGGGGTAGAACTTGATGTTGCCGTCATTCTGGAGTTGATCCTCACCTCCATCCTGAGCAAACTAAGAACAAAAGTTCGAGGTCCATGGGTCCATGTGGGGATTGGTCTAAATTCCTTATAATACGGGGTCCTATATTTGGGTTCCCATTATAATACGGGGCCCTATATAAATTTCCCCCATTTTGGGAACAGTAATTTAGGGAAACTACCATGTGCTGTGGTTATAATACAGGGGACACGCTGGTGATAATACAGGCCTCCAGGGTATCATGGCGTGATGCATTTTCAAGGTTACCGGCGTTTGCTGGCCACCCTTCAAGCAATTCCTTCCCCCTCAATGAACGAACCGAATATGGTACCATTATAAGTATATATATATATATATGTATGTATATAGAATATGGTACCAATATATATATATATACAGAATAGAGAGAGAGGGGAATGTTCATTGTTTGCGGGTGAGCTTTTTCTAAATTAATTTGGAGTTGTTTACACAAGGAGACCAAAAAAGGCCCACCTTCCGGGCGGTGGTTGTCCCTCATGCGCTTGATTTTTGCTGTTATTGCTGTCTTCAATCTACCCAATATTTCCCCACCCCTTCGCAAATTCCAAAACCCAAGACCCAACAAGAATTCTCCTGCAAGGCGCATCGTTCTTATCCATTTAGCATGGGGTTCAGGCTTCAGGTTGCGCATGCGCTACGGATGCCCTTGCCACTCATGCATGAAAATCCCAGGACTGACGCCCACCTCTTAACACGCCATGCAAGGGGCAACACACCACACCATGAATCCCCTCTCTTCCAGGACCCTCCTTGTACCCTCAAATGGAGATACAATATGGTCCAGGATAGTGGACCCTAAACCCTGAACCTTTAACCCTAAACCCTAAACCCGAGGTGGCGGTGGAGGGTCTAGGTTTGTGGTCAGGCCTTGAGAGCTGGACTTTTGACCTGGGCACGCCAATCCGTACCGGAAGGCATCGATTGTCGGCTCCCTAGCAATAAAGGCGTTTAATATAGTATCGTATGGTATAATATATTCATGGTACAGTACAGTATGGTATAGTATAACGCGCCCAAGCAGAAGCTCAAGTTGAAAGGGTAAGAGGCAAGACTAAAAGCCACCATGCTAGCAAGAACGATGAATCACTGACAAATTTTATTAGGGTTTAGGATTGAGGGTTTAGGGTGTAGAGAAATTTGTTCGTGGCATGAGGGGGAGATTGGAACGGCGGCTGCAGTTTCAGCTCAGTTTTATAGATCCCAGGCAGAGTCCGTCGTACACACAATCAACATGTGCTCGACTGGCCCTAACAACTTTCACACACTCCCCTTGAAAGTAACCCCCCCCCACCCCTCTAATATTAATTACCACCCATATATTATGACATACCGCGTAATGGGAGTATTTAATGTGGAGGAGGGGGGGTTCAACAGCTTCAGATGAATAGTCGCCATAAATGGGGGTCTGTGCATCAGGGACCCCAGGGATGGATGGGAATAGGTTTGGGGTATAGGGTTTAGGGGGGATGACTGCTGGCCCGTTCCAGCATGCATCTAGCTAACTTTGAGGACTACTTTCTAATCTGGTCTTGGCCTCTAGACTGCTTTGTCTTACAGGCGTGGTTTGCCAAGACAAGGTGCTGAAACAGGTACACCTGAAACCATGAAATCTCCTCCTCATTTTCAGAAAGCCTTTTCAGATTGCCATAAATATATCTCCTGTATCACAGAATCGCCTGTACCATCGCACACACAGTCTTCAGATGATCTAATGCCTCCCCTTCACGATCACAAATATCATGCCCTCTCGCGGCTACTGCGGAAAGGCGACCCACACAACCCATAGAATGCGCTTGCGAATCCCTTTGCATGAGGTGCCCGTGCCTCATTCCATTAGCTTCTGCCATTAATTTGCACTTTCCAAAGTTGAGATTTCACAACTGTATCTCCTAAAGAAATCCGATCTTCCTGTTCGTCCTCGCACAGATCCTGAACCAGGGAAATGAGAAATTCTACACGGGGTTTCCCAAAATTAGGTCGCATACGCACGCTGGGCCCAAGAGGGAACATGGAACCTTGCGACTCAGGTGAGTGCTATTTTCTGGGGGAGACTATGGTACCCAATATAGAGTAAGATTAGATCCTCCTTTTGGGTATAGTGCTGTATATAAAGAATATGCTCAGGTGCTACTGCAGTCGGGGGCGTGCCGCCAACGGCATCGCGTGTGAGAGTCGGGCAGACTTCGACCAAGCCGCAGGCAAGCAGGGAAGACATGCTCATTTCACAACATAACCCTAAGCCCTAAATAGTAGTTTCCATTTTCTTTTCCACCATCCCAATGTAACCCCTACATAATCTTAAACCCTAAGCCCTAAGGTGCTATGATGAAGTGGGGCTAGGTAGGGTCTAGGATTTAGGGTTTAGGTCTTCATTGGGGATTGTATGAGCTACTGGCAATATTTGCCTTACCAAGGGACCCCTTCAGGGGGGACATAGGGGCCCCTCTTATAGTTTTAGTAGAGTTCAAAGATTCCCTTTGGTAATTTAACGGTAAGGGGCTATGAGGGAACATTTGGAGATATACGCGGATGTAGGATTAATGGACGCAAGCTGTTAGCTTCAGGGTCAACTTGCTGCTTGCTGGTTTTTAGCAGGGAATGAGGGAATGGGAAGAAGATGAAAATCCGGCCCTCCATCCCCTCTACCCACCAGTAGCATCAAGGAATACTGTAATCCTGAATCATGTTGAAGATGGCTCTTACACCCTAAACAGTTTGTGATGCAGAATTTCCACAAAAGGTTGCAAGGAGAATTATGCCTGCTTGATACGAATGCGGCCATGTACCCTAAGGTGAAGCTACGTAAGGCTACGTATCCCTCAAAGGTCTCAGTATTTCGGGTCTGGCGGTACGAGCTGAAAGGAGTCCCAAGAGTGCTGATGATGCTCCAGATTATGAGAAGCTTCTGTAAAAGTGATGATTCTTGCTGTCTTCTTGGCCCACGTGCACCTTTCTTCTCACAATTCAGAAGCAACCCAAGGTGGTGTACAATCGTAACTCGTAACACAAAAGCTCTAAAAGCGCTGGAAATGTGGGCAAGACACTCCAAGAATACGTGCAACATGCAGAGTTCAGGGGATTTAGCGCGGGTACTGCACGCAGATTGGCTCGCATGCTTGCCATGCAGTACAGTACTTGCCAATGCTGATATGTTCAGACACAAATGCCGCCCACAGCATGTGTTCTGAGCTTGCTCTGGCTGAAAGCGCATTAGCCATCAAGAGCCAGCATCACGAGCTTCATGGGGCTAGTGTGGCCCCCATGTACTTCTTCCTATGTATGAGAATCCAGCAGCCCTCCGAAACCCATAGGTATGTCCAGGTGTACAGAAGTGAGAAAGGAAGGCCGACGCTGGCCCGTAAAAAATTGGCCAAAGCTCTCCGTAGCTTGCAGGGAAGCCCCAGCAACGCATCCCAAAAACCTCTTGAGTCTTGAGCTTTCAGGCCCAAAACCTGTTTCCCAACAGGTCGGAGGCTTAGGCGTCACCCCCGTGCAAAGCATGGCTTTAGCTGGGCATGCATCCACTGGTGGGTAGTAGGGAATCAGGGAGTATAATCCCCATATAATCCCTGTATATCATATTCTCTTATGCCTACTATAGCCTCGATATATACCCTACCATAATGTAGTAGTCCCATTTTCGGTTCCGTTATCCATATAATATAACCCCAATCCATATCCTTATTCCCTACTAGCCCTAAATCCTGAACCCTAAACCCCGTACCAACCAACCAGGACAAAAACAGCCAGGTGAACTTTTCATCCGAGGGTCAGAGTTCAACTCGGAGCTCCGCTGCGAGCAGGGAGAGTTCAGACCTCAGGAAATACGGAAGTAGATTAGGCTTATATAGGGATTATAGGGTTATATAGGGATTAGAGGGTAGAATGTAGGGTTACGTAGGGAAAATGGAAAAACCCACGGAAACTATTACAGTATGGTAGGGTAGGCAGATTCAGTTTGCTTTTGGGGCTTTGGGGAGGGATTGTAGGGTGTGAGGATTTAGAGTTTAGGGTGAAGGGGAGGTTTAGATTGGGGGTTGCGACCCCAATAATACCCCCCCCCCCCCCCACCCCACCCCTGGATGTTGAATCTTGATACCATGCTCTAATGGTACTATATTGGGGGGGGGGGCAATCACTTATGATGAGTTTTTCATATGAGGGGAGGGTATGGTGAAGCTTCTGCTGTATCCTCAGCATCTCCAGCCAACCAGTCGGGTTAAGCCGGTTTTGAGGGTCAAGGGTTGGTCGGGTCATGTCCTGCCTGCCATGTTGTTCTAGCCAAAAAAGCCACGATATAACTAGTTAACATCCTACAGTCCCCGGTAATTACCAGTTTAGATAAGGATAGTGTTTCGCAACATGCCTCCCTAGCACGAGCCAGCGCATGTTGGAACCTTAGCAATTAAAACGGCACGTTTGTGACCATTGCGTCGAAGCTAGAGCCCGATTGTTATAGGGACTTCCGAACAAGGGACCTGTCTTCTCCAATAGACGTTCCTAAACCAACAACTACCACAGGGGAGCCAAACTTGTCATGACTAAGCCTTGGCTGAACTCTGCACCAACTTTGGCAAACTTACGGGGGATTAGTAGGGAATCAGGGAATGTGTGATAGAAGGATTACATGGGGGTGTGTTTCCTCATTCGCTACTACCTTATTCCCTAGCCACCAGTAAGCAAACCCTGAGGTCTTGCCAGGTTACTGCCCGTGGAGCGCAGTTTGATGCGTTGGATCGCATGGTATTGCTGAAGGACAGCTTGGCGCTTGCGGGTCATATGTGGGTCATTGCCTGCAATAATTCTAAGATTTTAGTACTCATTCTGGCAGTCGTTGTGAAACAATGACAGCGAGGAACCTCATGGGTTCAGGCTTTGGGGATTTACGGTCCAGGATTGGCTTGTCAAGGGATTAGTAGTGGGATTGCCATAGGGATCTGGGGATGCCTGCAAACGTCTGGTATTCAAGATGACTGGTGAAGTCCCTGCGTGGAGGTTCAGCCAGCATTGCCCTCAGCCCGCTCCCGAAAATAAGAAGCAAGCTCAGCGGAGATGTTCGCACATTTGGTTGGGTTTCTCATTGTCGAGAACTAGCCACGATTACCTATTTCCCTGTGGTGTTGACAGAGCATGTAAGCGATTTGCAAAGTCCACTGGGCCTTGGCTGCTAGGAGGCATGGTGTGCGGACCCAATTTTTGGAAATGGCGCACACCTTGGAATAATCTCGAAACCCTCAACCCCCCTAAACCCCCCTAAACCCTAAACCTTGGAATAAGCCCATGTTCTGTCCAGGATGGTGCTGAGCACAGCTGCGGAATGGCTCCAACCTTAGAGTGAGTCTATCATGGGAGCTTCCAAGCTACAAAAGCTTTAGGGTTTGGGGTTTAGGGCCCCACTTCTTGAAGCTACTTGTACCCTCATCTTCGCAGACAAGTCCGGCGAGGTGAACAGTGGACAATATCCCTCATGGGCCGCCCCGATGACGCCGGAGAATATTCAACCTGACGCCGGGTCCTTCAGTGCATATGAGCTGCAGTCTAACCTGCTTAAAGCAGGTTATTTAGGGCATAATATGGGGGGCCATCACAGGGCTTATTAAGGGGTTCCTACCAGAGTACATCCTAATGTCCCGTAAACCTTGTGGAACACACATTGGGTTGCATGAGAAGTATCTAGACCCGGTAGAGACTTGCAGAGCTTTGTCAAAGGTGTTGGTGCAAGGTGTCCCTTATTCCTGATTTTTAATCCCAATATATATATATATATATGTATACATCCTATTAGAATGATCTAGTTTCCATGTTCTGTTTCATTATCCTTATGTTACCCCTAGATTCCCTTAGGGAATAGGGGGTGCGCTGTAGGATTCAAAGCTTTAGGATCGTGACTCCTCTCTTTAAATGATCATGATCACCATGCTAAGGACCAACCCTTGACAGGGGGAAAAAATCATGTAGTGGAACTGTATTGGGAGTGTTCTTTATCAGGTGGCGTGGTTACAGATGAGGCATTGGCCGAATTGAAGTGGCCTGCTATTGTATCGCGAGCCTGTAGCATAGTTTGACCCGGGCCCCATATCCCTAGGGCCCAAAGTGCGAAACTCCCCAGTTTCCTCCAAGGCCCCTACCCTAAACCCTAAATCCGAAACCCTAAAACCCAAGCCGTGTGGAGCCAGGCCATCATCCCAGACCTTTGGGCTGCAACGTGGATCATCAGCAGTGTCCGTCAGGGACTCAGTTGAGTAGTATTTAATTTGGGGATACTATGGTACCCAATATAGAGTAAGATTACATCCTCCTTTTGGGGTATAGTATTTTTATATAAGGGATGTTATCTTACTAGGTTCAACCACCAAGAAAACACTACTCAGTTGATCCGGTCAATATGCCATAAAGTGCAAGTGGTCGCTGCTGTCGGCTGCACCAACCAATTTGAAAGCGGTTCCAGTATCAATAGGGAGCAAGAGTCTGTTTTCCAAGTACCTGCAGAAGCCATACCTGGCTCTTCATAGTCCCTTCTCTTAATAATGAGTCTAATGCAACTCCAGCCCCCGAATAACGAATTCCATCATTTGGGTAGTATTTATTGTTGGGGGGACTGGGGGTGTTATCTTCAGGGAGAGCAGGATGTAACCCCTATGTAGCCCTATTCTCCAGTTCATTTTCCATCTGCTTGTCCATTTGACTCTCCATCATTTGGCAAATAATTCCCCTAAACCCCACACCCTGTATGTTCATGTGTGCCCCAGTGTCCATGTCATTTTCCATTATTGGGAGAAATTTCCCAAAACCATACAACCCTCATATAACCCCCAAGCACTACAATCACCAGAGAATCCCTATAAATGCAACTCCTACGACCCTATGTAACCTCAAAGAAACCCTTCAATCCTTTATAATCCTTGTAGAAACCCTATGTCATCCCATCGACCCCCCAAACTAACCCTATGTAACCCCTAAAGAATCGCTGCAAATTTTTCTATAACCTTATAGAATCCACCCTAAACCCTAAATCCTAAACCCCAAACCCTAAACCTCCAACCTATACAAAAACTCTCCTTAAAGGGACTTGAAGCATCCAAAGCCCTGAAGACCTAGACCCAAGGCGAGCCTGGCACTTACAAGATTTGCTACTGCGCCTACATCATAGGTGCCTCCGGCCCAGATTTAGGGTTTGGGATTTGGGGGGCTTGGGAGGCTTTAGGGTTCAGGGGGTTTGGGGTTCAGGGTGCTTCCGGCCCAGATTTAGGGTTTGGGATTTGGGGGGTTTGGGGGGCTTGAGGGTTCAGGGTGCTTCCGGCCCAGATTTAGGGTTTAGGGTTTGTCAGGCCGGCACCCCAGTCCTGGGTCAAAAAGGGTTTTGGTGGGTTAGGAGAGCTTACGGGTTAAGAAGGGTTAGGGTTAAGAGGGTTTCGGGTGTAGGGGGTTTTTGGTTTGGAGTTTGGGGGGTTAAGAGGGTTTAGGGTGTAGGGGGTTTTGGGTTTAGGGTGCTTCCGGCCCAAGTTTCCACAGAATGCGGAGGTCCCTGATAGCTTACGGCCCAAAATATGGAATTCAGAGTTATGCTTCTTGAAAGGCACCTCAGATGTGTGCCTGGTTGCCCCAGAATTTTTGGAAGCCCTCAGATTCTGCTCGTAGTTGTACGAGACATTGGTAAGCAGTCAGAAGAAAAAGGGGTGAATATCATACGGGTAGTAGTGCAAGCAAGCATGGCACATGCAACGATGGACTCAGAATTCTTTCGGTATCCACCAGACCTCGGTTGCATGAGAAAGTGCAGATTGAGGTGCTTGTACATGCAGTCCTTATGCTGAGGCACATTTGAAGGTTCAAGCCAGAGGTGTCGGTCCCACAGGAGAATGGTTGGGCATTAGGCGGTGCACCTCCATCAAGCACAGGCGAGGATGTGCCGCCCTCTGCAAGAGGAGGTCTTAAGTTTGACCAATGACTTTCGAGAACAGGAGGGTCAACCCCGGCTGGAGCTGCATGAGGCCTTGAGTGCCGTGGCCCGAAAGCATGCGCTGGCTATGGCAGATCACTGCCAGCCATTCAGCCATGACGGGGCCACTGAGCGCTTTCAGGATTCAGGGCTGGTGTGCCACAACTTTGCAGAGAATCTGGCAGTTTCTAGGGGCTACGCCCGGGAGGTGATGGCAAAGACCACAGTAGATGGGTGGATTGCATCACCTGGTCACCGGAAGAATCTTTTAGGACCTTTCAACGTCTGCGGCATTGGGTGGTCGTCGAACGATGACTGCCAGCTTTACATCACGCAGCTCCTGGCACACGTGGACCTTGAAACAGAGCCTACACCCCTGTCAACCCAGGTGCTGGATACTGCTATGCGGCTTATGGATTCGACCCCAGCAGTTTGTGCGTTCACAGGCATGGCCCTGGCAGGTCCTACAGGACTGTTGGCCGGTTGCATTCTGGGTGGCACTGCTCGTGCGCAATGGGGCATCCGGCCCTCCAGTATCCCTTTGGCACTAGCAGCTCGTGCGCAGCGCGAAGTCTTCCCCGCTCGGTGCGCCAGCTGTGGTGCCTATGGGAGCCTGGGCCCGGTTGGCCCCATAATGTTTTTTTAGTCTCCCGGGTGGCCTTTTTCATCTTCTACAGATCCTATTCAGGGTGCTAAATCGCATTCGTAGTGTCTAGGGGGCTCACTCTTAAAACGGCTTCTTGGCTTGAATTTTGCTTTCCCTTGCAGCTTTACAGTATGATGAAGTCCTGGATCCTAGGAGATTGCTGCTTTCTTCCACAGATCGCTCGTTGCTCTGCAGCAGTTGCCATCCAGCACCAGAGGACGGTGATGTCTGGCAGTATGTAGAATGACTCCCATCGTCAACAGAACGAGCATGGGTATATACCAAGGTCTTTGTGGATCAGGGACTGCACAAGACCTAAATAGTGTCGTTTCCATCTGGTTCTCCATCATTGTTGGGGTCCTACTTCCTACGTCGTAGAGTTTTGGCATATACCCGAGCGAGTCACGGGCCGCTGTCATGCCAGCAACCTCATTTAGGCAGTCAGCAGCTATTGTTATTCTCAACTGGTCTTCATGTTTCACTGCAAACAGCACCGACCCCTGACTGCAGCCAAAAAGCAGCTGTTACCAGCTACAGGGGCTGGCCCCCAAGCGGGGGTATAAGAAATATCCTGAACAGTACCTACCCGGGAAAAGGAGACCAGGGAAAAAAAGTGTACCCACTGAGTTAGGGGGCCCGTTTTGGAAGAAGCGCACTGCACTCCTCATGTTTGCACTTGCAGGGCAATTTCAACTGCAACGATTCTACCTGGCGCCCACCGGGTGACATGCCTAATGTAGATATCCGCCTTTCCGCTATCATGACTTATACCAGAATATAAATGGGTTCCCTGCGCTTTTCAGCTGTCCAGATTCTCATTCTGCAGACCACGGCGCAGGTGGCACTCCATGTGTGGAGGGCGGTCAGCTGACGCCCTATGAGCGCTACCAGCATCAGCTTGGCACTGTCAGGGCCCGGCACTTAGGACCTTGACCATGCAGATTGTAAACTAAGTTACCGCAATGGGTACATATATATATATACACGTAATTAATAGCGTTCCCCCATTGGTAACTGTGATAATTAGGTTCCAACCGCACTTGGCCCTTGCAAAGACCACTTGAGTGATTACAATACAAATCGCCTACTCACACACTGGCCATTGCAGAGATGTCGTTACTGGGTTGCGGTTTCTCTCAAGCAGCGCTGATGAAGCCGGGCCGTAATTACGTTATGTGCTGTGGGCGCGCGTGGGGCGCAGCCTTCAGCTATTTGAACGGCAAAATCTGTGCCTCAGCAAGGGCTCAAGACAAAATGCTTGACAAGTCTTTTCTATTTGTTTCACTTTATAGCGATAGTGATGCAATTCCATGAACGGGACGCCATAGGACGCCCAAAAGGGGCTCATATAATGAGGGAGTTGTCATAGCCCTAATCCTAAAGACAAAGGTCGTATGACTATCATGTGGCGCCTAATTCTAGGCGATGTTGCGGCTGCCAAGCTCTCCTGACTATGACAAACCTGCTTTCCGTTTCGTTTTCCCATCTCTTTGGTGCTTCACTCTCAATCATTAGCATCCTAACGGGGCACCCCAAACCCAAACTAATCCACCTCGATCCCAAGGAGCCTCCAGTTTCCATTTCCCTTTGCAACTGTCTTGTCCATTTTATTGTCTATTCTAGCTGTGGTAAACCAAATCCTCTTACTACACTGAAGATGTTCACCATCCCTGAACCATAAACCTCAGGGAAGTTAACTCCCCCTCGAAAGAACAACTGAACCATAAAACCCAGACCCTAAATCTTGTTGAGACATAATTTGCGGAACACCCTATACATTTCTACACAACCCTAGATAACCAAAGATGATTGTCCATTTTGCGCATTCCCCAGCTCAATTTCCAAAACCGAGGTCACTGGTTCCATCTTGGCAGTTCGGCAGGCCCCCAGAGCCGCAAGCGGTCAATAGTAATAGTAGTAGTTGAAGCAGCAGTGGTAGTGGCGGGTGCAGGGGCGGTCGCGGTGGTGATGGTGTGGCAGCGGCTGCGGTGGCGGTGCTGGTGGCGCGGCGGCGGCGGCGGCGGCGGCGGTGGTGGTGGTGGTGGTAGAAGAAGACGGAGGGAGAGAAAGAAGAGTAGTAATAGAAATTGAACTAGTATTCTTGTCGTTCGCTGCAGGGCTTTCAGTCTAGGACTTTCCGTAGGTGTGTTCGTCCAACGATGCACGTACATCGACATGTACGACATGTAGGTGAACGCTTTGTTCAGCATCATGTCTTCAGTTTCTTCTCACAACAGTGCCAACGTGCATTTAGTCGATAGGCGTTGAGCTGTGAAAAGATTTCAGAATTAAGTGGGGGTCTCAGGCCTCAGGCTTGTTCGGATTCCAAGTTGAGCTAGCAATGAGATCTGCTTAGGTAGCATCCTTCTAGCAAGTCGCTGTATAATTTTCATATATCAGAAGTCCCCAGGGGCTACAGCTGAGTTGCTGTCCAGGTTGGTGTAACTCCGGGCTACTGGCAGCCAAAACTACCTGCGGCGAAGTATGCAGCGCGCGGCCTCTGATTCATTGCCACGCCTGCCCTGTCGTACATTCTGGGTATGCGCTTCCATGAGGATGTAGGTATGCATCAAGGAACTTTTATGTTCAGAATATGTGTCCATATTAATACATATATATGTATATATAATTGGACGATAGATAGACATAAGGACAGACGTGCATACGCGCATGCTTACAGACAAACACACACACACAGACACAGACAAATATGTATGTATGTCTGTCTGTCTTTATGTTGCATGCATGCAGGTATGGGCAAGTGTGCGTGTGTATATGTATGTGCGAAGGGCCAGATGCATACACATGTGTGCGCATATCAATTTTCACATGGCTTGGACAGGCAGGGCCCCCAGCCAGCGCATATAGTTACTGAATAGACTCCTAGTATCACGTTATAATACTACCCTGTATAATCCCCTACATTATCCGACTGCATACCGGTTATTACGGACAAAAAGAGATTGCCTGAAAGAAGAGGGACGGTGTTGCACTGTTTGGGAGTGATTGTGTGCCTACCTTGGATACTGCCCCGCACCCCGTAACAGTCCGCCAAGTCAGTATTGCACGGAATAGGTGTCCTGTATTGGAGTAACATAGGTTGGAGGCAGTAGCTAATGTTCACCTAGCTTGCATCACATGCGACTGGAGAAAAAGGTCAGCGTTGAAGTGGATGTGCTGAACACATTCATGATTCTTGTCTGCAAGCCATTCCAAGAGATGAGGTTGAGAAGAAGAAAAAATGTGCGAGAAGGGTAATTGTTTTTGGTATTGGGCTCTGCTATATCTGAGAGGGTGGGACCTGAGCCCGAGCTATGACCAGTACAGTGGGTCGCAGCAGTCAGTAGAGCTGCGCATCCAGGGCCGTAGCGGATAGACAACACATTGGGCCCCAAGGTTGTTGTTGTGCATCAGCTATGTGATGATTGTGCGGGACTGCGGTGCCGTCATAAGCAGTGTCACAGCTGTCTAGAGAAGCGACGAGGATCATACCAGGAGCATGAGCAATGAGAAGGGGAGACGGTTGATGATTTTTACTCGGGTTGAGAATTTGTATTATCTTCTGCTCCTGTATGGTTGGTAGTCGGGCCCTCGACAGTACGGACAGATCCTGCTTTAGGCATTGCCCCGGCCCTCCTCTTGGGCGGGGGCGGGGGTACAGCAGCGAGAAGAAGAATCAGAAGAAAATGCCGGAAGTACATCATTGCCTCGTGCCCAAAAGCCAAGGAAGTACACATGCGTTGCTACAACGCAAGCTGCGCCTGCAAATTTTATACCTCGGAAGCCGTGCTCTCAGTTGCTCCAGCTATGCCTAGCGCTGCGCATGGCCTTGGATCCATGCACGATATGGGGGTTTCCGAAGGCCTGGGGTACCATTTTGGGTGTCCCCATAGTAAGGATCATCGTATATTCGGGTCTATATTAGGGTCCCTTTACTTTGGGAAACTACCATATGGTTCAGTAAGATGTCAAGTGGCAGACATTGACATCTTCGACCAAGGTCAGACTTGGAGAATTGCACCAAGGACCTTGAGATGTCTTTCAAGTCAAAAACTCCCAACAGGGGTTACATAGGGGTTGTATAAGGATGAACCCTAAACCCTAAACCCTAACTCCAGGACATCTCTGAGTTGTCCGAGCGGCAGCGATTTTTCCCTCGGTGCTGGGGGATTGGAACCACGGTGGAGACGGCAGATGGCTTAGATACGGGAGGGCTCGGGGTTTCAATGGTGGTTACCAATAAATCTAGATCCACTTCCCTTTCGGGATTTATAACGGGGCCCGTCAATTATGGAAACCCCCCAGATGTTGTCCAGGAGCCCAAAGAGGCGTAGCTCTTTGGGCCAGCCTTGGCTTTGTAGGGCGTCTAAGGAGGGGCCAGACAACAGGGGGACTATGTCATGCGGTAGGGTGGCAGTGCTCATAGCCCTGAGCCCCAAACTTAGTGGTGGTTAATAGGGACTACGGGATTGTAATCCCTATATAACCCCTGTATAATATATTGCCGTAGTCTTTTCTATAACCCCAAGATATACCCTACCATAATAGAGCTTATGGTAGTTTCCATTTTCTTGTCCATTCTCCCCATATAATGCAAATATATTGGGGGGGAGGGGTAAGTGAGCCCGAATGCTTTCAAGTTATGATCTCTGCTGCAGGTGACAGACATGGGCCCTAACCTGGTGCTCCTTGGATTGCACATAGCCACTTTGCAAAATAGGGAATTGCTGTGGGTATTCCAGCTCACTACATACTATCTATAACTGGTATAGTCCCCCTTCAGTAGATAGAATATGGCTTTGCGTATATTATAATAAGACCCCCCATATACCCCACATTCCATCTACTTAATGGGGACTATACCTATAATTCAGGGGTCCATGATTTTGAGTTTAGCCCATATTTGGTCGCTTCCCTCTTGAACTATGCGCTCCCTTCGTGCTTTTGCCTATTGGAAGGTTACAAAACTGGGTTGCTCCTAAGGAACTTAGATTAGGTTACTATACTAAGGAAACCCTTCTTTCTACTATGTACCCATATTGGCAATCTAATTGTCAGCAACCCAGCGGCAGGTTACGAAATGGGAGGTAAGAGGTCTGGGGTGGGGACGGGTCTTGAAATGCAGCAACCCTCAGCCCCCAAGGCCCCAAACCCCTAAACTTACTGGTTCATGGTAGGGAATAAAGGAATTTATCCCTACATACTATGTTCCCAGATTCCTTACAAACCCCCAAACCCCTAAACCTTTGCAAGCCCATCTCAGGCACGTTCCCACCCACATCCCGGACCTCACCCTGGAATCTGCAGCGCAAATGCACGCGCTGACCTTACATGAGTTAGCATGCAATGTTAGGAAAGACACGGGGTTCCTAAGGGTATTTTGCCATGACATTTTCGCCAGTAAGCTCCTAGTTAGATTCATTGTTTAGATAAGCAGTGTTGAGTGTATCTCAGATGGCATTTATATGCCGGAAGTCGTTTCGCAGTATTCCCTTTCAGCTGTCTTAGTTTATGCGAAGAATATCCTCTTACTTGGTTGAACGGTCGCACCGCTTACCAGACAGTACGCTCTGACCCCAGACGCTAAACCCTTAAGCCTTATAGTCCCTACTATTACTAGGTGGGGGGACTTAGCCCTAAACCTTAAACCCCAGACCTTTGACCCTAAACCTTAAGCTCCAAACCCGTGAGCAAACGAGGCGCTGAAAAAACAACGTAACCCTAAACCTTAAACCCTAAAGCCTAAACCTCAGGTGTGGTGTTATGGCCGAGATCTCTGCTCCAACGAGCGATGTGTCTGGCTCTGAGCCTGCTTTTGGCAAGGCCCATTGCACATCTGGGTTGCTGTTGCCCTAGGGCTCCAGTTACCTAAAGAATGGTTTCTGGTTTCTATATACCTGATAGTAACATAGCCCCGTAGCTGACTGGTTGGGTAAATGGGTAGGCTTTAGTTAGCACATGATTGCCACCAGTCTTTGGTTGGAGCAGATGATGATTTCGCCCAGCGCCCAAAGGTCATGCCAGCAGACAATGTTGGCTTGGCGGTTCCCATCACTGGGGGCCTGGTCTCTTATGCCACAGCCCGGGCCTCTCCAAACATTGTACAGCTCACGGGATCACCCACAACACCCCCTATATGGTAGTTTCCCAAAATAGGACCCCAATAGAGACCCCAAAATACTATAGTCCTTATTAATATAGTGACCCCCAAAATGGTACCCATTATTTCAGGAAACCCCCTATATCATTTGCCCCCTAATTAGCCCGAACAGTCCTGACCCTGATCGATGGGGAAGCTGGGTGGCAATGTAGAGAGGGATTTAGCATAGGGGAACCCCTGAAGGGCTCATGACGATCATGAATTGCAAGGGCAATTATACTTCAAGTGCTAGTGGTGCACCGGTTATTGTGTCATCTATTAGAGACCCGCAGTAATGGCCTGCCCTGACCTGCAGATGACTTGCCGTGCCACTATTCGGACAGCTTGGGTACTGCCCCCACGCTATAAGAGTTTCCCAAGATCGTCACCGTGGTAAGATTGCATCCTACTATGACTGCCATGCCGACGAAAAAATTAAGGCTGAACCGTCTCCAACACGGGGTGGAGGGGTCCCTAAGGACAGTAGTCACTATTTCCATGAAATACGGTGCGCGCAGCATCCTATGGATTGCTAAGAACTGGGCGGCGACCGTCTCCACTCCGTTCGCGCTGAGAGTTCCATTGGCAAGTGACTTTGACGTGGGCCCTGGCCTCGGAAATTAGAGAATACGAGCTGTAGTCTAAATGGGGTTCAAGGGGGGTTAGATAGGGGATTAGCCAGGGGAGTATTATAGGGCTGATTAAGGGGGATACTAAGAGTGTAGACTATAGCTCATATGGTTGGGGAAGGGGTTCTCCAACACAGCTCCTTACAGTGGATGGAGGAAATCTTGCACCAGTTAGAACCGTACGATTAGGGTATGGGGTATATCAGGTGGTGCAAGATTTCCTCCCTCCACAGTACGGACAGTCGGTATCTAAGGCTTGTACAGGGCTAGAAGCTCCTGCAGGGGGTTCAACAAAGATTGGGTGTCCTCTTCGTAGTGTCCGGATGTATGGTCACAGGATTATAGTCCCCCTTAAGTAGATAGAAGCGGGGCATTTTACAATAAGATCCCCATATACACCATATTCTTAAGGGGGACTATACCCTAAACCCTAAGCCTTAGACCGTAAACCCTAAACCCTAAACCCTAAACCTTACCTGCTTAAGGGGGACTACATCGTTTTTTGGGACATCTTTTACGGATTCTCGGGTTGGGTTTTACGGGTGAATCCAAATGGGGCTCATAGAAGGGCTATACAGTTGTTTAGGTACATATGTACGTAAATACACACACAGATATATATATATATGTGCATTTCTGATATATATATATAGAGAGAGAGAGAGAGAGAGAGCCTCTATATGTACATGTGTACAAGTATGTGTATATACATATAAATATGTGCGTGAGTGTATATGTGTGTAAGTTTATATGTAATGCATATATATATATAGCCTATAGTTCCTGGACGTCTCTATTGAGAGACTTGACTCAACATGTTAAGGCCAAGCTTCCCGACTATGAACAAGTGTGCTCACAGATGGCCATTTCAGAAAACGAGATTTTTGGGAGCATCATGTCATCTTGCCATAACCGACGTTGTGCGCAAAACGCACGGCTCCTGGTTGTAGCAGCCACTGCAAGCCGAACGAGCTCAACACCCTGCAGTGGCCTACTGGTGCTTCAGAGCTCACGCCTTTTCGTAAGACGCTGACCGAGCTTCTTTGTGTTGCAGGTGACCCTTGGCCCCGCTTGAAGATCATCACGCTGGACAGTACCCTGGCAATGCAACGACTTAAGTGGCAGGGAAAGGCGTGCACAGGAGGATCAGCTCTGTTATGTAACCCTCATTATAGGAACTGCGAAGCTGAACCCATGTAACCCCAACATCACTGTCAGGATTGTTGCTAACATCATCGACATCATTGCCTTTGTCCATTTTTTTCCCCGAGCTTTGCTGCAGGCGAATGCGACACCACGCAGATTCACCGATCGGCCAGAGACTTGGCAATCCTGTCCCCGCAACAAAGGCCTGCACCGCCTGACGGTCAATACTAGCAAACCGTCTTACACATGCCCAGATAGTCAACCGTCATATGGTACGAGGTGTAGTCACGCTTAGTTTTTGACCTAGGGGAGGGGATTAACGCAAAGTGCGTACTGCCGGGTTGAACTTCATATTAGCATTCGTTGGAAGAGCAGGAGGAGTATCAGGAGTAGAGTCTGAGTACAAATAGAGAGCTGCTGGCGGAAGAAGGGCACCTCAGAAAGAAAGTACCAGACAACGAGCAGCAAAATGCATAATTTCAAGTTCAACTCTGCCAGGCGTGAGCTGTTCGCGCTGGTCAACCTGTCTTGCAAGTAGATCCAAACGGTAGTTTCTGTACCTAGGGGGCCCCAAGGTAGATCCCAAAAATGCTATAGTCCATATTATAGGGATACAGAAAGGCAACCCTAGTTTTGGACTCCCCCCGGCCCCGAATCAGGTCATGGGCATCACATGCCTGGAAAGTGGAGTGCGGAACCCAGCCAAGCGATGGTTGGCAAGAGGTCGACTTGTCATGTTAATGCCTAAGATGATGTCCCCAGCCGTTGATAGTGGTATCAAGTGGCAAACTGGGGACCTCATATAACTGCACATATCCAGAAAAAAAGAAGCAAAGGCAAGATGAATAGCAAAGACCGCCGGAGGTAGGTCCGCACAAGGGTTCCATTATATAGCCCTAGAAGTGCTGGCGGACGTAAGTAGTACTCCACGCAAACTCTCTTTTTTATCAGTAGCCACAACGAATATCGACTACAGTGATAGCGAGATCTCTCCAGGTCGGCATGTGCGAGCCAGCGCCGATGTCCACCCTAACTTCCGGCTCCTGGGGTTCGGGACGGGAGCTGATTTGGACCGGCAACTTGGCTGCGTCTCACAACGGGAAGTTCTCAATGGGAGGGCCTTACATGCAATGAGGATCCCACAATGGCTTGTGGTACGATAGAAGCCTGAACAAGTACCACTTCTATGATCCCAGATTCTGTGTACTAATCAGAGAGCTCCTAACCATACCTTCAAATTGTATTTATTAGGCTTTGCGCTAAATTGGGAGACCTTGACTTTGAAAATGCACATAGAAGCATCGCCGTCCTGCTGCTCCAAGGTATTGCGGTGACTCGAGTCAGGGCCTGAGACGGGTGTAGACCTCCCCTTATTAGTGAAGGAATGGGGTAGGGTTTAGGGTTTAGAGGTTTGGGGTTTAGGGGCTCGGGGTCTAGGGTTCAGGGTTTAAGGATTGGAGTGATGGGAAATAAAATGGAAGCTACTACTATCATGGAGAGCCAAAAGGGGAAAGAACTACTCGGGAAATGATTGCAGATTACTTTTATATTGAGAACCAAATGGAAAGGTAATGGAACAAGAAACGGAGAATATGGTTATCCTTTATTTGCGGAGGTTGTCAAAGTTCTGGCCCCTTTTTCTGGCGCTTATGTTGAGGGGCATTCCCAAACCAACGGAGTCCCCTTCAGAATACGCACACCTATATCTACTGTAGTCCTCATTGTAATTGCAATATTTCGAGTCCCTTGAATGCTCGTGATTGTTGAACTAATGGCCGACTCTTGGGCCCATTATAATGCGACCCCTACTTGGAGGGTCAGGGGGACTTAGTAAGTGGGTTAATAATGGGGATTACTAGGGTTACTATATGGGTTATAGGGGTTATTAACCTACTTAGTAAGTCTCCCTGACTCTCCAAGTAATCTAATCCCTTCCCCCTAATAATAAATGACGTCCCCCCCCCCCTAATAATAAATAATCCGGGGAGTCAGAAATTAGATATTATTATTAGGGGGAATATTTATTGAAAGAATTTAGTAGCGCCGCCTTTAAAATCCTTTTAAAATCAATTCAAATCGAATTAAAATCACGTTAGAATCATTTGAGATTTAATTGCAATTCCTTTTAAAATCAATTAAAAATCGAATTAAAATCACGTTAGAATCAATTGAGATTTAACTAAAATTCCTTTTAGAATCAATTAAAATCGAATTAAAATCCCGTTCGAATCAATTGAGATTTAGTTAAAATTCCTTTTAAAATCAATTAAAATCGAATTAAAATCCGTTCGAATCAATTGAGATTTAACTAAAATTCCTTTTAAAATCAATTAGAATCGAATTCAAATCACGTTTTACTCAATTAAGATTTAATTAAGATTCCTTTTAAAATCAATTAAAATCGAATTAAATCCCGTTAGAATCAATTGAAATTTAATTAAAGTTCCTTTTAAAAT